CACCTGTAGGTCGCATCAGTCACCGCCGGTGATTCTCATGCCGCCGATGTAGAGCCGAAAATTACTTATCTTCATTCCACCTTTCGCCTCCCCTCGATCACACCCAAAATCGAGCATAAAAAACATCAGAATTCTAAAATAACCCTTAAAAACTTATCGATTTAAGTAATACCCATTTGGGGCGTTGTGGGGTGTGAATACACTTTCCCACACGTAACCGTACTCCCAAACCCAAAATCCTAAATTTTGTAGACCAAATTCCCGATTTTGACCCTAAAGTCGAGGCCGGTCCAAAAGGTGTTCGATCCACCACAAGTAAGGTCGATGGCAACTCCGACCATTTCGCGACGGATCCTCCGATTCGGAGGTGCGGTTGCAACAACAAGCTTGACCATACTGCTTTGCCCTTGTCATCTGTTTCAGATTCTTTTGTCAATTTTAAATCCAATAATGACAAAGTGCATTGTTCCATATATCTTTTAGCTAAACAAAGGCGCCTGCCTTTTCATTCCAATGAATCACACTCACAAGTAGTTTTTGAATGGTTGCATATTGACATTTGGGGCCCTATCAGTCTCCCACTATTGATGGTTTTAGGTATTTTTTAACTTGTGATGGCGATTGTTCTCGTCACACTTGGGTTTACCTAATGAAAACTAAAAGTGAAGCAAGACAGATTTACTCAGTCTGCCTACCTTTGTAAAAACACAATTTTCAGCTCAAATAAAGATAATCAGAATTGACAATGGTCAGGAGTTCAACGTTCCTTCTTTTTACTCCTCACATGGCATAACACATCAAACAACATGTGTGGCTTTCTCACTTTTAAATTATTTTTCACCTATAATATAAATAATAAATATAAATTATATGCATCATCAATGATAATATCAAACTTGTCAACACATAAGACATAAAACATTTCAAATATTTAAGTCTAAAAACAACTACAAACATAAAAATTCACTATTTGAAGCTTGCCATTATAGTATTTCGGTTTTTTGGTCGGAAATTCTGTTCGGTTGAAAGAACCCTAGTTTGTGAACTATCCATATTTTCCTTCCGAATTCCGAACCGAATAGCATTAATTCGGTTTCGGTACGATTTAATTCGGTTTCAGTTCGGTTCGGGTTTACCAAACCGTTTGCCCACCCCTAATGTGGATCTTTAAGATAAAATATCATGCTGATGGTTCTCTAGAACATTTTAAGTCTCGTGTAGTGGCTAAAGGGTATACACAAACCCCTAGTCTTGATTATTTAGAGACTTTTGCTTTTGTTGTTAAACTTACAACAGTTCGTCTTGTTCTTTCTTTGGCAGCCATTAACAACTGGCATTTACATCAACTTGATGTAAATACAAATTTTCTTCATGGTGACATTGATGAGGAGGTTTATATGAAAATACCTCCTGGCTTAGTTGTTCCCTCTTATTTTAAAAATCCAGTGTGTCATCTAAACAAGTCGTTATATGGTTTAAAACAAGCTAGTCGTCAGTGGAGCATTAAACTCTCCACCTTTCTCAATTCTGTAGGATATAAACAATCCAAGGAAAATTATTCTATTTTTGTTCGAAAGGTTGAATCCTCCTTTACAATTTCTTTAGTTTACGTTGATGATATTATCCTAACATGTAATGATCTTAATGCCATTAAAAATCTCAAAACTAGCCTTGATCAAGCCTTTACCATCAAAGATCTAGGTGAACTAAAATTCTTTCCTGGTTTGCATTAGATCTTCTAACTGACTATGGTTTCTTAGTAGCAGAACCCTGTGATTCTCCTTCTGTTCCTGGGTCCAAGCTTTCAGTTAGGTCTGGAACTTTACTCACAGATCCTTCTGTTTATAAACATTTAGTAGGGAGGTTACTTTATCTTTGTAACAATCGCCCTAACTTAGCTTATGATGTCCACCAGCTTAGCCAATTTACACATTCTCCTACTGATCAACATATGCAGGCAGGCGAACGAGTACTTTGTTACATTAAAGGTACAGTTGGACAAGGGTTTCTCTTTTCCTCTGCATCTGAACTTAAACTACATTCTTTTTGTGGCAATGACTAGGGGGGTTGTCCAGATACAAGACGCTCTACCACAGGGTTTTGTGTTCTACTAGGTAATTCCCTGATCAGCTGACTGTTTCTCGATCCTCTGCTGAGGCAGAATATAGGGCAATGGCCAGTTTAACTTGTGAATTGATATGGCTTAGATACATTATTCATGATCTGCATATAACCCTTCCTGCACCTACTCCAATTTTTTTGTGATAGCTTGTCTGCCATCAAAGTAATGCATATAAATTCTGCAAATCAGCTTGCTGGCATTTTTACCAAGTCTCTCTTAGTACATGTGTTTCAGCATTTGCAGGCCTAGCTGGGTTGTTTGGACATATACTCACCAGCTTGCGGGGGACTTGTCCGAGATCAAGGAAGCGAGAACCTAGTTGTCGATATTTTGTAGTTTATATTGTAAATTGTAAACTTGTATAATGTAGATATTAAGTAGGATATTAGTGACAACTATATATACTGATTTGTAAAGTGAATATTGTAACTTTTACGCGTGAAATAAAATCTGCCAGGCTTGGTACTTAGTCAATCTTGCCCTGCTTGGTACCCTCAGCCTACCAAGCCTCTTTCGTCTTGGTACCAGAGTTGTCTTGCTGGCTTGGTACCCTCTTACTATAGGTGGTATGACACTGTGTCGTATGGCACCCCAGCCTTTGGCTCAAGACTTAGCCAACTTTCATGTTTGGATACCAGGCCTTCCTTGCCGGCTTGATACCCTCTTGGCTCTATACTTAGCCAAATTTCATGCTTGGCTACCAGTCCTATCTGGTACCCTCTTAGTACTTGGTACCCTATTGTTTGGTTACCAAGCCTGTTTTGCCGACTTGGTACCCCTTTGGCTTTTTACTTAGCCAATTTTCATATATTTTGGTATCAAGCTTGCCTTGTCGGCTTGATACCCCTTTGGCTCTATACTTATCCAAATTCCATGTCATGGTACCAAGCCCTACCTTGCCGGCTTGATACACTGCCATTGACCCCCTTATATGGTACCCGGTAGTTTGGCATCCCGTTGTGCCGCCTTGTTTCCAGACTTAGTTTTTGGATGACCCTCTATTTGGTACACGGCTTGGTACCCGGTTGTTTGACACCCCTTTGTGCCACCTTGTTTCTAGACTTAGTTTTTGGGAGCCAAATTTCATAACAAGGGGTGGAGGCATCATTCGGCTATGGGGGCCAAGGAGACGGGTAGGCCATCGTATATAGAAGAAGGAGTTTGCCCACCTAGGCCCAAAAACCCAACCCAACAAGGCTCAATTAGCTCTTTTAATTATTAATGTTGATCTGGCTTATAAATTCATTAAATTCCTTGTAATTAATCGATATGATATGAGATTAATTTTTAGGTGTAAACATTCTCTTTTTCAGCCAAAATGTGAAAGAGTTAACCCGTAGCAGTAGCACACCTATCTCGCACAGGGACTACTAACCATGGATACCACTAAGAAACCTTTCATTTTGATGTAGTGATATATTTTTCTCGGTTCAACATGAAACCTTTCGGTTCTAGACTTCTAGTTTCATATTTGGACACACCCCAACATCTATGACATCTATAATACAAAAAACGAAAATATCTTAACACTAGCACACCCAAGTTGATTTCCATTCCAAACATTTCATTAACCACAAAAGCAAATGCAGTAACTATCCTGACTATGAAATTCAGTACGGCTTCAAGCCTTCAACAAAGTGAATCCACTTTCAAATCCTGATCATCCATAAGAAGATTCTCCCTTCCCCTTCTCCCTTTTCCACGTTGAGGTAATAAGATTCTCTTATTTTTGGGGAGGACTTCCCTTCCTCATTTAATGTGTGCAATATGCTAGTAGAAATGCTAATGAGGCAGCACATATTATGGCTCACATGAGGGTGAGATGGGATAGAACGAATGTTTGGTTTAATAGGCCACCGCTAAATCTGTTAGATCAGTTTGTAAGGAATGATGTAAGATTGATTTTCTCAATAAAGCTAAAACGTAGGTTCTGATAAAAATAAATGTTAGCACCTTAGCCCATAGGGGTGTTCAAACGGTTTGGTTACCGTGGTAATCGTTTTAACCGGTACTATTTGGATAATTTGGTTTGGTTAATTTGGATAATTGGTTTGGTTTGGTTAAAGTTTTTAGCTTGTTTGGTTTAGGTGGTTTGGTTTGGTTTCAGACACTCCTAACCAGTCAAACCAAATTAACCAGTTAAGTAATTAGTCATATATCTAACATATATTATATACACATACTTAATACTTTGCATAACCACTCAAGAGCTAACGTTCATCCCTTTCAGACTCATAAAATATAAAGCTCAATATTGCTCATATAGTGTATATTTGTATATGTAAAGTGTAATTTATGATGGATGAAAACTTGAAAGGAAGGTCATTTCCGGCCTATGATAATTGCTAAGAGACTAAGTCAATTTACACAAACACAACAATTCTTTAACCCATACCATTGTCATAAATTTTTGTTAGGTGAATACTTCTATACTAATCGTAAGATAATTGTCTTAGTTGCATGTATTTTTGTTAATGGTCAACTATAACTACGTGTTGATTGTTATGTTTTATTCATTATATAAATTACGAATTGTTGCATTACCCGAAAAATTTTCATCGTCAATGATAATGTGATTTTATATTGGTTAATCTGGTTAACCAATTAACCAAACCGATTAAACTTTAGTTTGGTTAATTTGGTTGTTGTATTAGTATGGACGGTTTGGTTATGATATTGTATTCCATGGTTAATAAAATTTAGCCTTATTTGATTTGGTTATAACCATGATAGCCATTTGAACACCCCTACTAGCCCAACCGGTTGAGCCACTATGCTTTATTTATTTATTTATCTGTTAATTAATTATTTATGGAACATACTCCATTTTGCAAAACCCTAGTAAATGTCCAAAATGCACAAAGCAAAACTAGCGAATGGGCGATTGATTCCCTATGGAAGTATTGTTTGGACTCTCAGTTCCAATTGGTTTTTGCCACTTCCCATTCGTTCCCTTAAGGCTTCAATTGCCCCTGCCTCAGAATAGTAGTTTCCGAACGCTTCTTGTCTCCAGCGGTGTGGTCGCCGACGTTAACGGGAGTGATTCCTGCAAAATAGATTGAAAAATGAGCGGGATCATTCCGATTCTGAAGAAGCCTAAAGTCGAGCAAAGCGAGGATGTAAGCGGCGGCGGCGGAGGCAGAGGAGAAGTAGATGACGAAGAAACCACGGTTGAGGAGCAAGAATCCGCGTTTGTGGCGCTTATCGAACATCGTACTCGCGAAGTTGAACATCTGAGGAAGCGTATCGACTACTATACCTCTCAGGTATTGCGTTATTATCTGCTTCGAATTCCGTGCAGCTTGCTTTCCCTGTTCGCCGTCTCTATTCTCCTCCTCGCTGCATTCCTTCACCATCTGGGGGGTAAGTTTTGATTTTGTAAGTCTTTTTTCGACTTGAATGTTGAAAACTAGGAATAATCAACACTAATGGGTTGTGGTTCAAAAGGAATCAGTCGAGAACTAAGAAAGAAACAAAATTGTACGACTTGTAAGGCTTTGAATAGTCCTTAGATTATTGCTATGGTGGTGGAATAGCTTTTCTGAATTCTGATCATTCATTTTTGCAGCTTGGAGAGGCAGAACAGAATCTGGAAAAGACAAAAACACAATTGGCTCGCCTTAGGAGAGATTCCAGACCCCACAAGACTTCTCTGGAGAATGGGGGAAAGATTGTGAAGGTGGAGAGCAGCTCAACTAGCTCTGTTCGAGTTAATGAAAGTTCTTCAAGGAATCAAACTCGGTCTAGAACTGAACTTGTTATCCCGGCTGCGAATTCCAAGGTTGCCCAGTATTTAAAATTAGGGGGTTCTGGCACGAGGGATTCCATTCGTTCAAGTGCTCAAACAAGCTCTTCTACCCAGTATGATATTATTAGGAAAGTAAATGCAGAGAAGCCGGACCAGAGTCCTTCTGATGATGAAGTTGTTGAAAATCAGGATAAAGGAAGAAAGAGGAAACTTGGTAAATCTCTGATTACTGGAGAAGTTTTGCATTGTTTAGTTTTACTATGTTACTTGCGTTCATGATTTACTGGATAATATAATATGTCCCCAGAGCAGAGAGACCACAAGGAATTGATTCCAATGGTATGCAGAAGCTCTTCACCGTATACCATTTATTGCCATGCCAACAATCACATCTGTAGTCAGCACAAGAGAAAGTTGAGAAATCTTGCACTGTGTCCGGTGAATGATCAACTGTTTGTTACCAGGTGATTATCTCATGGATGCATTTCTTCCTTTTAGTTAGCCTATTCTTTTTCTTTTTCTGTTTCGAGTATGTAAAATTGCTTTAACCATATTAATCTTTGTTCTGTTTGGAATATATTCAGTGCTTTGGATGGATTGGTCAATTTATGGAAGCTGCAGGGTCATGGGTCAGTTAAAATGTTTTACCCTGTTATGTCAATTTGTTATTTTGCCTCCAGACATGCCAATCTGGTGGAGGTTCCAAACCTTTTTCAAGTAATTATTTCTTCCAATCTTGTAATTCCAGGTCTAGTGCCTCTCTTCTTAGTTCCACTGAGTGCATTTCTCCAAAAAACAGGCGGTGGGCTGAAGATATAGCCTGGCACCCATTGGGGAACAGCTTGGTTGCGACTTACACTGCTGATAAAGGGGACTCTCAGATAGCAGTCATTCATTTGAATAAGACACATGAGGTAATGACCTCTGGTACGCGAAGTTCATAAATCAATTTGTCAGAGGGTCAATCTTGTTCACCTCTCAGATAGCAGTCATTCATTTCGAAGCACTTATAACTCTTCCAAAGCATCTGTCTAATCTGTCTTCCACTAATTTACATTGGCAGAAAAGCAAAGTAACGTTTCTACAAGACAAGCCTCATATTAAGGGTATTGTTAATGGAATAATGTTTATGCCTTGGGGAGATTCATGTTTTGTCACCGGTGGCAGTGATCATGCTGTCATAGTCTGGAATGAGGAAGCTGAAAACTCGTGGAAGCCAAAGAATTTGCACAGGGATTTGCATTCTTCTGCCGTTATGGGGATTGCTGGCATGCAACAAAAGCAGATCGTGCTCTCGGCTGGTGCAGACAAGAGAATCATTGGTTTTGATGTCCAAGGAGGGCGAGTGGAGTTCAAGAATCAAGTGGATAGCAAATGCATGAGTGTTTTGCCTAATCCATGTGACTTCAATCTCTACATGGTTCAAACAGGGTAAAAGATGCAACTAATATCTTTATTATTTTTTTTCTGTCTCGATCTTGAAGTGTTTATTGCAATGGAATTAGGGATGACAATTTTCTGACATTGTCAGGAGGGGCATGGTCTTACCTTTGTCCCGCCCGTTGTATCCTAATTCTCTGTAACATTTATCCTATTTTGGCTTTCATTAACTTATGACCGCTTTCATTAAGCATATTATCCTCCCTCTTTTATTTACAAAGTGTTTTCCACAAAAATAAGAATCGACTTGTTACTTCTTTTCCCTGAGTTTCATACCTGATTCGGTCTATTATTACCGCGCTGGGTGCAGTGTATGGCTATTGTGGTACCTACCCGCCCATTGCCTCTTGTACTGGATTATGTTCAGTCTTTCCATAGCAAATAACCAAGTCTTGGGTTCCTCTTGTATGCAGGACTCCTGAGAAGCAGCTGAGACTGTTTGACGTCCGATTGAGACAAACTGAAATCCACACATTCGGGTTTAAGCAAGAAAGCAGTGATTCACAGTCAGCACTGATCAATCAAGGCTGGTCTTCTGATGGTTGGTACCTGTCGTCCGGCTCGGTGGATCCTGTGATCCACATCTTTGATATCAGGTACAACGGTCACAAGCCATCACAATCCATAAGAGCTCACCAAAAACGTGTCTTCAAAGCTGAGTTTCACTACTCTCGACCTCTTCTGATCTCCATATCTTCTGATCTCCAAATTGGGCTGCACAAGATTTAGTCGAGGTTCTGGGTTTGCTTCAGATGTTCTTCCCTTCCCCCCTGGTCTAAACGCTGTCTCCTGCGGCAGCCTTGTTGAGTGAACGTTTAGGAAACTGCTAACAAGTGAAAAGCTGCTTAGAGGATGGTGTGGCAGAAGACTAGGATGGTTTAGGAAACTGCTAACAAGTGCACTGCGAGTTGACGTGGGTCTAGGTTGGGAGTCGTAATTTGCTGCCGGTGTTCTCACTATTTGCCATTTTGATATTTTCTGAAAAATGAGAAAAAATTCTACTTTTAATAGTCAATTGAAAATTATGTTTGTTTCATATGAAGGCTACATCTTTTCGCCACTTGTATTGTCTTACTGTGCTGGACTTTACTGAAAATTAGTTCCTAGTTATTTTTAGGGGAGTACTGGAATTGTGGAAGGGGATGGGATGGCACAGATATATTCGGAAAAAGATACAGCGAAAAAGAATGTTTCAATCTCCGATCTCAGGCTACCGCGCTGGTATATGCGCCTGTGCAATCCTTTCCTCTTCCTTTCCTTTAAGACGGCGAGTGATGATTGTTCGAGCCTCTGTGGCGGCAACCTCCCAAAACTTAGGAGCTGCTTTGGGATCAACTAAATCTAAAGAACCCACTAAGCTATTGGGATAGGATATCAGAAGCTAATTGCCTATGTTACATCTAGGTATCCATTCGGGTTTGGTTTTTCGGTTTTAACTAAAACTGATCCGATTAGATACATTGTCTGTTTTTCGGATTTGGTTTGTTTTGAGTCTAGGGGTTTCGGTTTCGGTTTTGCTTATCGGTTTTTCGAGTTTTGGCTAAAAACCTTCAGGGGATAGCGCTCGGCCCGTATTCTTAGGGGTTCGGTTTTGCTTTAACCTAACTCGAACTCGAACCTGATAAGGAATTCTCGAGTTTAGGGTAGCCGAAAATTGAAAGTCCTTATCGATTTCGGGTTCGGTTTTCAATGATTTTGTTTCGATTTTATTGATTTTATCGGGTTTTGGTTTGAGTAACTGAAACCGACCCGAACAGACAACCCTAGCTTCAACAAAGTGAACCCACCTTCAAATCCTGACCATCCATCAGAAGTCAGAACCACGAATTACACGCCTGCAGCTTGTTGTTCTAGGCTCTACAAGCACAAGCAAGTTAGAAATTCAATTTCTCAGAGCACAACAAAGATTAACATGCCTATGCCTGTCATTTTTGGCATCAGTTTCATTCTAAACAAGTGTGGTATTCTTTCCTTCCAGTTCTCCATCTTCCTAGGATGATCCATCAACTAAGAAAGATTCCAACATGACCAAGAGACAAATTGAGCCCGGACCTATAACTTATCAAGTCATGACTCGGACAGCAAACAATCAACCAGCAAATAAGGCCTATGGACTAATGCTCCAACTAATAAGGATGGCACCAAAAAATTTCCATGCACCTGCTACTAGGGCGGTTAGTTCGGTTGCCGGTTAGCGGCTAACCGGCTGGTCTAACCGTTAACCGCCGGTTAGCGGCTAACCGGAAACCAAAAAAATGGGTGGCGGTCGATTGTCGGAGGCGTTCAGTGGTTAGGCGGTTAGCCGAAAAACCGAGGTCGATTAACCGGCTAACCGACGCTAACCGACCGATGTTAAACGACGCTGTTTTGGCCTAAATAAAACTACCCACCTCTCCCTAAACCCTAGCAGCCCTTCCCTTCGTTCCTCCATCTTCCCCCATCCTCCCTCCTCTGACCTCTCGTTCCTCCATCCTCCCTCCTCCGACGACTCCGGCAGCCCTCCCTTGCCTCCTCCGCTCCCCCTCCTTCCACCGCCACCACAACTTGCTCTGACTTCGAGCCGGCCAAGCAAGAGGCAGGAGAAACTTCCTCCTCCTCGGATTTGATTCCTTTCAACAACAGTAGCAGCAGTGGCACATCTGGTTCTGGCGGCAGAACCAACGGCGCGCTCCGCCGCTGACCCCTCCTCAGCCCCGCCCCTGTGACCTCTGCCCGCCGCCTCGCCTCGACGACCTCCTCCTCCCCGGCGCCGCGCCTCGCCGCCCCTGCAGATCAGTTTCCATGGAGAAAGAAGGTGAGAGAAGAAGAAGGAAGGAGAGAGAAGAGGTCTGGTGGAGGAAGGAAGGAGAGAGGAGGAGATAAGGAAGGAGTGGTGGAGTTTTTTTTTGTTTTTTTATTATTTTTTTTGTGTGGAACCGACCGGTCGGTTGGCCGGCTAACCGTGACCTCTCTTCGGTCGGTGGTCGGCAGCTATAGGAGGTGTCTCGGTTTAACCGATAACCGGATTTTCGGTTTTCGGTTAAATCGAAACCGACCGACTGCCACCCCTACCTGCTACCCACCAATAACACAAGGAAATCAAGACCAAAACTTGTTTTGCACACTGCTGCGATAAAGCAACAACATCTCAAAATTCTGTTACTTTCCTACCCATACATACTCTACCTACATCTTTCACCTCCAATTCTCTCAGCTCCTCGACCAAGCCTTCTCTCTGTCCACTTTATCTGAGAAGAACTAGGTAGCAAACATGTTAAGGAAATACTCTCTGTACGGATGATTCTTGGGAACCAGCTTCTCGAATTGTTCAAACTTCATCTCCGCCTCTTCCCTCTTCCTCATCAGCGTGTATATGATCCCTTGGCAAAGATATGGACGGAAGTCCCTGGGCTTCTCTTTTACCAACTCATCCTACACCTTCAGAGCTTCCCCCATACTTCTCTTCCATCACTCTAATTTGAGCTAACAGCAACTTGAAGTCCAGGGCATCAGAAGCCTTCTTCTCCCTCTTGCACTTGTTCATGGCAGCTTCAATTCACTTCATCATGTCGCTCATGGACCGCCCATCTTCTGAATACGCCATGACCAGGCCGTGATAAGCCTCCACCGAAGAGGGTCCTTCTCCAGGACTTCCTCGAAGATCTTGGTGGTAGGGTCAGAATCGTCGCTGTAGCTGTAAATTTGGTCCTTGAGTAGCAGACACTCGTCGTTGTTGGGCTCCACCTGGATCAGGCGGTCAATTACCCCAATTGCTTCCGGAAGCTTCCGAGACTTGATCTTGAGCTCCATCAAAGCCCTTAGAGCATCGATGTCGCCTGGATGTTGGGCCAAATGCTCCTCCAGAGCGCTCTCCTCTTCGCCTAGAGAGGCATTATTATCCTTCTCCTCTGAGGCAGCTTCTCTGGGTGCGGGCTCCACCAAGGGAGGCGCGCGATCGGAGAGGCAATCGCCGGCTTAGTATGTGTCACGCCCTGGGGAAGAAGAAATGGTCTTGGCGAGGTTGATTGATGGAAGAAGGAAGAAAGGCGAAGATGATCTGGGAATAGAAGCTAAGAACAGAGAAGAGAGAGAGGGGGAAAGGTAAAGTTGTATTGATCTGGTAAAAAGTTAGTTACAACGGTTTTCCCGGGCTCAGCTATATACTTGGGCAAATAACCAAATGACCCCCAAACTATTTCATATCTCGTCACTCTTCTTCCAATCATTTATAATTGAATCCTGTGCGTTACAACTCCCCCTTCCTTCAGCACAAGCTTGTCCTCAAGCTTGAAAGTGTGGAAATCTGGCCTGAAATTCCAACCAAGGCTCCCAAGTAGCATCCTCCTCAGTTTGGTGAGTCCACTGCACTAACACCTGAGTCAGGGATTTGTTGTCATGAGCCATCACTCACCTGGCCAGAATAGCAGCATGTTCGAGCTTCATAACCCCTTGATCATCTTGACTCACTTCTACTGTCACTCCAGGAATTGGCCAAGTGAAACCATTTCCTAAAGCGTAGTATAGCGGGTTTGGGTTTAATTATCAACCCGGGTCCTATATTTGATGACTACTCAGTGAATTCTTGTTATCTAGCAATGAAACTTTAATGCAAGTCTAAACTAACAAACTAACAAAGCAAGTAAACGGTTGTATTCAGGTTAAGAGAGGTCACCTGGATATGGTTCCCCCTAGACTGCCGTTAAGCCGGATTGTAATTACCAAGTTCAGTTTCTATGAAAGTTATACTGCGGAAGGTTCTTAAACAGCCTGAAGTCTAGACTAAAGGTCTTCAGACCCTCTCAATCTGAGTCTCTAGCGGGCGACTAACCTCCACCGGAGTAAACAGATTGAGGCCCTAAGAACAAAACCTCCACTACCGGAGTAAATCCGGTACAGAATAGTGAGTTGGCTCCTCGACTAAAGTCACCAACTCCCTACCTTCAATCAAGGATGCTCTATCAACCTAGGCAGATATTCTCATTCTAGGTCAAAGCAGAAACAACAGGAATTTGATCAGGATTCAAGTCATTCAATCATTCAAACCTCAATCGAATATAATCAAATCATAGAATCAGTACTTGGGTTCATACAATCAAACCTAACATACAAATCTAGGGTTCTCCATACCCAGATGAATGGGAGAACTACTCCATAGAGAAGAAAGCAAAAGCAGAATCAGACGCGGAATTCATACTGTGAAGGATGGATTCCTGCTCCTGGACGTTGATCGGCACTTCTCCAAGCTCAAGCTGGCCTCCAATGGTGTTGAAGATCAAGCTAGGGCGCTTGGGAACTCTTGTTCGTCGCTTTCTCTCTCTAGGAACTGATCTCTATCTCCAAAACTCGAATCCCCCTGAATTGTGGCTGAAAATCTGCTTAAAAGCATCAGTGGCCAAAGCACGGTCGAGGACACGGCCTTGCTTTGCCTGAGCCTGCCCGTGTCTCGGCCAGTGTTAATTACACGGCCAGCAGTTGGGGAGAAACACGGCCGTGCTTCGCGTTGGACACGGCCGTGCTTTTGTGGAACACGGCCGTGCTTTGGTGCCCGTGTTTGCAACTGAAATTGCCAAACCGAATTTGCTCTCGGCATAAAAAGCACGGCCACAGGAACACGGCCGTGTAATGCCTTAGGCTGCCCGTGTTTTGGCTCCAGCTCACCGAAATGACTTCCGAATGTCCCGAAACTCGCGCTTAGCCTTCCCTTTGACACCTGGGACCTGAAACATGACAAAATAGCACAACCCGGCGTAAAATAGGCCACAACACACGACTATGCCCCTCAAACGGATAAGAACTAGTGGCGCAAATATGTGCAATTACATCGTTATCAAACTCCCCCACACTTAACCGTTTGCTTGGCCCCAAGCAAACCTAACTCAAACCAATGCAACTCTCCAGACCTCTATAGCAACAAACAACCCAGATCGTAGGTAGAGGACTTCCTAGATCATTTAGCAACTTACGAGGTCAACCGACGCACAAGTCATCTCATAGCTTCTTCGGCGAGAGCACTAGTATCGAGTCGGCATCATGGCAAATAGTGAACAGAGGACAAATGAATTGTGGATGGAGAGATTCTTAAAAACAAAAGACCATGGACTCACATTTTTCAAGGTGCTCTATTTTCTGCTTAAAGATTGTTGGAACCCCCTTTTTTTCTGTTTTGCTTGTTTTCTGATATTTTTCTTTTCTTTTCTTTTTCAAGGGTCCCAACCTGCTCTTACCGGCCATGCCAGGAGCGGATGTCTCGAGCCTCGTGCGGGGGAAAGACATGTAAGGGGGCCGGAGGTAGTCGGTGGAAATTGGGAACGAATTCCCGTCTCCCCTTACACACTTTCGCCCTATTCGCACGGGAGACGTTTATTTGGAAGCACCTTTTCGAGCACCTGTTATTTTCAAAACATGACACAAGAGTCCATGATAGGTAGAAAATCCACAACATCACACAATTCAAGGGTCCTAAGATCACTAATTCACTCAATCAACCAACACAATATGAAGAAGAAATGAGACTTCTTAAATGCATCAACATCCTCCATAGTGCTACACTACCTCCCTAGGTTGAATATTACTATAAAGACTGTCAATTCAAAGCATACTGAGCAGGCAATTGCAAGGAAACACGTACTTGGAGCCCTCAAATTTAAAAATTTGGACAGTGGACTAGGCTCCAAGCACACAAACAGATCTAATGCAGTCAAAAGATAAACACCCCCCCCCCCCCACACTTAAGATCGACATTGCCCTCAATGGAGAAGAGGGAAGGATAAGGGGAACGATGTTACCGGTATGCATGGACTGCAGGAGACTGGAAACGGGCCAGTCGGGGCAAGCACAGCCAAAGGAAAACAGAAGAGCTCAAACACAATATGTTAGGTTCAATGGTCAGCCCAATAAAATATCATCCAAACCAAAAGAAAACAAACCAAACCCAAACCGGGTTACAATCTGACTCAAAACACAAGAAAGAAAATCAAACCGCGGTGGGGTTGCCTCCCCACAAGCGCTTTTTTATCGTCTTTTAGCTGGACGCCCATGGTGGATGCTCAGGGCGGTGCAGGAACAGGTGCCTTCAAGAGCGGATCCATGTCGCTCTTGAGGTACAGCTTGAGGTTGTGGCCATGCACCCGACGGATGCGACCACCATCATCAGTCAGCTCGACCTGCCCATCTGGCAAGATGCAGGAGAGTGAGTACCCGGACAGCCAGGGTGGTCGTGGTGCAGGAGGTGGGACCAGCTCATAGTGGTCTCCACTCTTCTTCCGTGCAGGCTTAGCAACCTGCTGCTTCGGCCGCCACTCCTCCTTGAGCTTTTTGTTCGGAGGCGAGGCTGGATGGAGTGGCGGCGAAGGAATGATAGGGGGTCCTGCAAAATAGTAGGTGCAGAAGGGTACACGACAGACTCGTGTACCAGATCAGAAATGGCATGCACAGGCGTGACAGCAATCATAGCACAGTGATCAAACTCAGTCACAGAAAAAGTAGCATGTTCATTCCCAGCACGCAAGATCAGTTTACCATCATGCACATCAATAAGTGCCTAGGCGGTGGCAAGAAAAGGCCTACCTAGAATCAAAGGCACATCCACATCCTCATGTATATCAAGAATAACAAAATCAACAGGATATGTGAATGCACCAACACCAACAAGCAGATCCTCTATGATTCCCCTAGGATGCACAATAGAACGATCAGCTAATTGAATGCTCATCCTAATAGGGCTAAGTTCACCTAGGTCTAGCATTTTATACAACTTATATGGCATGACGTTAATGCTAGCGCCTAGGTCCGCCAAGGACTTTCCTACATGCATGCTGCCAATAGTAAGAGGGATAGTAAAACTCCCTGGATCCTTGCGCTTCTCGGGCAGCTTGTTCTGCAGGATAGCAGAACACTCCTCGCTCAGCAACACTGTCGAGAGATCCCCAAGGTTCTTCTTGTTGGTGCAGAGATCTTTCATGAACTTGGCATACTTGGGCATCTTCGACAGTGCCTCCACGAACGGTATGCTGATGTTGAGTTGCTTCAACATTGCCATGAACTTGGCAAACTCAGTCTCCAGCTTGTCTTTGTGTAGGCGAGTGGGGAAGGGAAGCTGGGGTACATGCTCCTTAACCACTGGTTGTGGCTTGGGAGCAGGGGCTTCCTTCTCCACCCGCACTTCTGCATCGTCGGCTGGAAGTGCTGAAGCAGGTCGTGGTTCCTCTTGTCTGGCCGGGACAGGATCAGCAGATATGGTCTTACCGCTCTTGGTAAAAATGGCATCCAGCTGCTGATGCTGGTGAGGATCTCGAGGATTCGGGACAGTGGTGGTAGGCAAAGCCCCGGTGCCCTGGTGGTGTTCTGGCGGGCCAAGATGCCCACCTGGGTCTGCAGATCCTGCAAAATGGCACCCTGGTTCCTCTGACCTGCCTCTAGTGAGGCTACACTCTGGTCCAACCTCGTGATAGTCGCCTGAGTGCTCGTCATGAATGAAGCTAGAATGTTTTCCAGCTTCGTCATCCTGTCATCTGGGGCTGGAGCTGCTGCTGGCTCGGCAAACTGGCGCTGGGGCTGCTGGAATGGCTGCCCCTGCCTAGGCTGGTAGGGCTGCTGCTGTGGGTCTGGCCCCTGGCGAGCCTGGAAGGGCTGGCTCTGCTGAAAACCACCTGCTGGTGCTGGGAAACCGGGTGGTTTAGTGGTGTTGCTGCTCCAGGCGAAATTGGGATGCTGGCGCCACCCCTCATTATATGTGTTACTGAATGGATCGAGGCGCCGCGCATTGGCGATGAAGGCCAACTGCTCCTAGGGTGTGGAAGACTCCCTCATAG